CTGTCCCCTCACCTCCAGAGTGCACCGCCACCACTGTGTCCCAGTGGCCGTACCCCAGACCTGAAGGCTCTGCTCAGCGTGGTGGACAGTGCCCGGAGTTTCATCTACATTGCAGTTATGAACTACCTGCCCACCATGGAGTTCTCCCATCCACGCAGGTACTCTGGGTGGGGGCGGGGCTCAGGATGGGGAACCCCTGTGAGGCAGGAGAGCAGATACTGGGGGAGGTATGGAGGCAAGGGTTGTAGCTGAGACAGAGCTCTTGTTTAACATGCTAGAGGCCCCAGGCTCACCCCCTAGTGTCACCAAGCAGGGGTGGGGCGCGGGATGGTTGAATGTGGAGTCAGAAGATAAGAGGGAGAGCTGGGAAGAAGGCTCAGTGAGTAAAGTGTTTGCTAAGCAAGAGTGAGTAAGGACCCATTTGGATCCCCAGCACCTCAAATAAAAGGCACACATGACAGCACGCATCTTTTACCTCAACATGGGGACAGACAGAGACAAGTGGATCCCAAAGGCTTACTGGCAGGCCACCCTAGGTGAATCGGGGTATTCCACGTTAGGAAGAGACCCTGTCTAAAAAAAGTAAGGTGGATCGGGCTAGAGAGATGGCTTAGCAGTTGAGAATGCTTGCTGCTCAGTTCCATGCCCAGCACCTATGTTGTATGTTGTTCCTAGCACCCATGCCAAGAGACTCACAATTGCCTATAATTCCAGTGAATACTCTCTCTCTCTCTCTCTCTCTCTCTCTCTCTCTCTCACACACACACACACACACACACTCACCCCCTCTCACCCTCTCTCTGTTTCTCTGTCTCTGTCTCTCTTTCTCTCTCTCTCTCTCACACACACACACTCAGGAGATGAGAGGAGGAATTTGGGCATGGTGATGCATATCTGTAATCCCATCCTTTGGAAGCAAGGCTGAGGTGGAAAGATGGAGACCAGCCTTGGCTACAGACTGAAACTGTCTCAAAACAAAAGACGGGAGGATGAGATGAGTTTTGGGGTAGCCCGGAACAGGAGGTGAGAAATATGAGAATGTAGGAAGAGGGCTTGAGAGCCTCCAAGCCAAAGGTGAAATCTAGAACTAAAACTGCCTCTTGTAGGGTGGTACACATACACACACGAAGGGCAAGCACTTGTACACATAAAACAAAAATAAATATATCTTTTGGGGCTGGAGAGATGGCTCAGTAGTAAGAGCGCTTGCTGTTCTTTCCCAGCACACATGTCACGTGGCTCACGGCCATCTGTAACTCCAGCCCCAGTCATCTTTGTCTTTGTCTTCTATGGGTATTGATACTCACATGCTCAAGACACAGCTGCACATAGTTAAAACAATATTGAATTCTTAATAAAAAAAAAATAAGTAGGGGCTGGAGAGATGACGTCGAGGTTAGGAGCTGCTCTTCCAGAGGTCCTGAGTTCAATTCTTCTCCCCTCCCACCACAACCACACGGTGGCTCACAACCATCTATAATGAAATCTGGCACCCTCTTCTGGCATGCAGACAGAACACTATATACATAATAAATAAATCTTAAAAAACAGTAAGTACGTCTTTTTAAAAATTAGAAAGAAAGCCGGGCAGTGGTGGCACACAAATTTAGTCCCAGCACTCGGGTGGCAGAGGCAGGCGGATCTCTGTGAATTCGAGACCAGCCTAGTCTATAAGAGCTAGTTCCAGGACAGCCTCCAAAGCCACAGAGAAACCCCGTCTGGGGTTGGGGAGTAGAAAGAAAAACCCAGGTGGTAGTAGCCCACACCTCTAGTCCCAGCACTCAGGAGGCAGAGGCAGGCGGATCTCTGTGAATTCGAGACCAGCCTAGTCTATAAGAGCTAGTTCCAGGACAGCCTCCAAAGCCACAGAGAAACCCCGTCTGGGGTTGGGGAGTAGAAAGAAAAACCCAGGTGGTAGTAGCCCACACCTCTAGTCCCAGCACTCAGGAGGCAGAGGCAGGCGGATCTCTGTGAGTTTGAGGCCAGCCTGGTCTACAGAGCGAGTGCCAGGACAGCCAAGGCTACACAGAGAAACCCTGAATATAAAAACAAAACAAAAAAATTTAAAAAGAAAAATACACCCTCTTCCTCCTGAACCCCTACTCTGCTGTCCCTCAGGTTCTGGCCAGCCATTGATGACGGGTTGCGACGGGCTGCCTATGAACGAGGCGTCAAAGTGCGCTTGCTCGTCAGCTGCTGGGGGCACTCCGAGCCATCCATGCGGTCCTTCCTGCTCTCCCTGGCTGCTCTTCGTGACAACCACACCCACTCTGACATCCAGGTGGTAAGAACTCAGCCCAGACCACCCCTTTCCCACTGTGCACGGTCCTGGGGACACAGCCCACCTGAACCACAAGTGTACAATAAGGATGACCCAGAGTGTACAGCCAAGAGGGGGGAAACTATGAATCAGGGCTGACCAGGATCTGGAGCGGGTAGGCAGCGGGTAGACCATCACTGAGGTGGGCAGGGGTGGGTGAGGCTGACACAGAGAAAGACTTTCTGAGGGGCTGTGGCTTTACGTTGCTCTCTAGGACCTCATAAACCAGGGGTGAGCCCACACTTACAATCCCAGCACCTAGGAGGTAGAGGCAAGAAAATCAGGAGTTCAAAGTTATCCTGGTACCCTTGGCTGTAGAGTGAATTCAGGCCAACCTGGGCAATGTAGTGAGGAATGGTCTAAAAACCAGGTGCAGAGGAGGCAGACTGACAGTCTGTGGAACTGGAGAGGTGGCTCTCTGGTTAAGAGCACTTGCTGCTCTTCCAAAGGACCAGATTTTTTAGCTACCAGCTTCCTATGTCTGGGAGCTCACAACAGCCTGTGACTCCAGCTCCAAGGAATCCTCTGGCCCCTGTGGGTACCAGCATACACACACACACACACACACACACACACACACACACACTTATAAATCTTTCAAATAGAAGGGAGAGAGACAAAGGCAAGACAAGGGGGACATGAGAGATGATTAGCTTCAGGGTGGAACAAGGGCCCGTGTAGGTCCATGGCCCTTTCCCCACCCCGCCTCAGGTGGCCGTTTGCCGAGGACCAGCTTGCACTGGGCCCTATTTTGGTCCAAGGATCCACCCCACCCCCAGAGAAGCAGCCAAGTGCCTCCCCTGCAGTCCCAGAGCTACCCAGTGCACCCCAACTTGCACCTTTAGCTTCTTGCTACCCTCCCCTCCCCTACAGAAACTGTTTGTGGTCCCTGCGGATGAAGCCCAGGCTCGAATCCCCTATGCCCGTGTGAACCACAACAAGTACATGGTGACTGAGCGTGCTGTGTACATTGGTGAGCGCCCCCTTTCCACGGACATAACCTAAGAAGGGAGGGCCTGGGCTCTCCCCCTCCATCAGACCTTACTCTACCCCCCTTCCCCCAGGAACCTCCAACTGGTCTGGGAGCTACTTCACAGAGACAGCAGGCACCTCCCTGCTGGTAACACAGAATGGGCACGATGGCTTGCGCAGCCAGCTGGAAGATGTTTTCCTGAGAGACTGGAATTCCCTATACAGCCATAATCTTGACACCGCAGCTGACAGCGTGGGCAATGCCTGTCGCCTGCTTTGAGGTCCCGCCCAATGCAGAGGCCAAAGCTTCCCAGGGCCCCCTTGGACTCAACTCTGGGTCCCGGTTTTTGTCTCCATGCCCCCTTGCTTCTGTGGCTCCGAAGTCTCCCCACCACACTCCTGTTGCTACCTCCACCTCTGCTGGCCTGACACCCTGGCCCCTGTAGACCTAGCAGAGCTAGGGGAGGATCAGGCCCCAAAGTAGTGGGGCTGCATGCTGGGCCCGGACCTTTGGCCCACCCCCTCTAAGGGGCCAAGATTATGATAAGTAAATAATTATCTGTACAGCCAGCCTGTGCTTAACTTCGTGGCGTAGGTGGGACACTGGTTAGGGGACAGGTGGCATGGACTCTGATGGAGACATCTCAGCATGCGATGCGTACAAGGCTGGCGTGGGCTAGGCACGCTGTATGTGACCACACTGGCAGGCATGGGCCAAGCATGCATATGACAAGCATGTGTTGTACTGAGCATGCTCCAGAGCAATGGGGGAGAAACTATTGCTAAATCCCAGTGTGTACGGGCAGGGCGGGGGGTGGGGGACACAGACAGCCCAACGGATCTGACCAGAGCATGCGCCAGGTCTGAACTTATTCCCACCAGGGCGTTCACACTTAGCATGTCCCGAGCGTGAGGGAGCGAGCATGCCAAGCCTGTCACAAATATAGAGGACTAGTCAGTGGTGCTTGTAAACTCAGATGGACTTGTGTGTGTCCAACACAGAGAACATTCTGATGGCAGATTCCCAAGGGGCCGAGCCCTTGGCTGGTTTTTTTGTTGTTGGTGTTTTATTTTTTGTTTTTCTTTTAGTTTTGAGACAGGGTCTCACTATAATCCTAGACTGGTCTTGAACTTGTAATTGTAATTCTCCTCCTGCCTCAGTCTCTTGAGTGCTTGGAATTACAAACCTACTCTACCATGCCAGGTTTAATTTAGTTTATTGAAGGAATAGGTTACTGTGCCCAACACAGCTTTTCTCTTCCAATGCTGTAGTAGCTGGGCCTCCTGCCTCAGCCAGTAGCCAACCAGTCAGAGCCTGGTAGAGGCAGACCGTGGGTGCCAGCAGGGCTCCATATGGGTAGTGCAGGTTCACACCGTGATAACAGGCAGGAGCACACTTTGGAACAGTTATTTATTGAAATAACAGAGGCAAGTGGGCCCAGGCATGGTCATGGCCAGTGAGGTGCAGCCCTCTTCCTGCACCTGGCCTCAGGGCCTCTCGCCAGACCCTGAAGTCCTCCAACATTTAGGGTGGGATGTACAGGCATGTTGCCGGGGGCAGGGAAATAGGAACATTCTGATAGCTATTTTTTCTGTAAGAATAATCTGTGGATTCAAAAGATAGCTCTAAGGAGCCATTTCAGAGCAAGGGGGGGAATGCCAGCCCAGCTAGCTCAGACCCCAGAAAACGACGGGGGTGGGGTCCCCATCAGTGGTGCCCTCCAACATGCTGCAGAAAGCTAGTGGGCCTGGGTGGCCCATGCGGGTGGGGATGACGGGCGGGGAGCCCTTGAGGTCGAGACCCTCGGATGCCCTCTAGGCTCCATTCTGGCTCATTCAGCCACTCTCCAGGACAGCTGCCAGGATCGAAGAGCTCAGGGCCTGACCTCTGTCGGGGGGAAAGAGAGAGGAGCATCAGCCAGAAATGTGGGAACCTGCTGGCGTGTATACCCGTCTACCAGAGGGATAAGCAGGCATGAGGCTCTCGCTCCCTGTGCAGGCTTTCCCACGCTGCAGTCAGGTATTAGGGATAAGGAACCAGGGCAGACCACGTTCGGGCTAGGCTCTGCCTCTGGGCCACGCTACCAACCCCTCGCTGGGGAATTTTAGGCAGATGCTCCAGTGTTAAATTCTATCTCCTGTCCCGCACATTGGATTATAGGTAAGGCCGTGTGCCTGCGCCTGAAGGAGAGTCCCCAGTCCCTCACTGGTGAATACTAAACAAGTATTCTACTGCGGAACCAAATCTCCAGCCCTTCTGGGAGGGGAGGTGGTGGTAGTGTTTGTTTTTCCAGATAGGGTGTTGTTATGGAACCCAAACTAAATTTGACCTTCAGGTGACCCTCCTGCTTCAACTTCCTGGGATTACAGATAATACTCCGCACCACTCAGCACCTTGCCCATTTCTTAACAGGCCCAGCACTAGGTGCCTATTTTCTGTCCCAGCCTTAATTAGAGTATAAGCCTCGAGCTATCCTGAGGGTGCTCCTGTGAGCTGAGCCTTGTCACCTTGTGTAGGAAGTCAGTGTTTACTGAACGTTGGGGCCTGGGTGTAGGTAACAGAATGCTACAGCTGTAAGAAGCACGGCCCTATTACCCGTGCACTACCTTAGATTAAGCTCTAGGGAGGCCGAGACTCAAGGCTGGGTGCCAGTCTGTGCACCCTGCTTACCTCAGTATCCATGGTCCTGTCTTTGATGCTGGGCCCATCTCCATCCCGTTGTGGGATGACAGATGGCTCTGTGGAGGTCTCTCGTCCTTCTCCTTCCTCCCAGCCACTGCCCCGACAGGACCCGGCATCCTCTGGTGAGGCCTGGCTTAGCCGGATGAGATTACTGAAGTTGGAATCAGATTTGGAGCCCGAGGGGGGCTTGCGGGCTTTGTGGCGGCCAGTCAGGATAGGCTCCGGGCCCGAATCAGAGACTCGATGGCCAGCATTGGCTACTTTGAGTGGAGCCAGCATGTCAGAGACCATGTCAGCCCGTGTGTCACTCCACAGCCCGCGCCTGGCCTCCTGCAGACTCAAGTCATCAAGCTGGTCGATGGCCCTCTGCATTCCCGGAGCCTTCTCCTCCCTGAAGAAGGGCCCACTGCCTGCCACGCCACCCAGGCCTGCAGTGTCCTCCTCCTCAGCCAGGCGGTAGTAGGGAGGCCCATCCTCTGTGTTGGCTATGACAGGCGGGGGTGGCTTGCCATCCACCTGCAGGGACAGACGACAGCCGCGAAGTGACAGCTGATAGTAGCGGGTGGCCTCGTGGGCACTACGCAGCTGCTGCATGGACACGAAGGGATGGCGCAGGGCGGCGCTAGGACTGATGCGTTCATGAGACTCCCATGTTAGCATGCGCTTGATCAGCTCTACCATGCTCTTGAGGTCTGCGTGTTCCGCCAGTGCCTCCCGGTCTGGGAAACTCAACCGACTTACAGCCCCGCCACCATTCACCGTCTCAATCTGGTCCAAGGATTTGAGCATGTACTTGCGGCGCTCCAGAGGGCGCACCTGGGGGGGGTACGGGGGATACCAGGTGGAGATGTGTCTAGACTCGGGGCTCCAAAAATCCACCTGCTGTGGGAGCCAAGTAGGCTCCCCCTGACTTCTGCCCATAGGACTGGAAGCTCTCTTGCGGCTTCGACTGCCCAGCCTGGCCCCTCATACCAGAGCCTCGATTTCCAGTCCATAACTCTCCTGCCATGGGGAGGGGGGGATATGCAATTCTGTTCTTTGGTCCTCCTGTTACCTAAATCAGTCTCCACGTTTCACCTAGACCTTCAGTCCAACCCAGAGACATGGCTGTGGCCTTCTGATTTGCCATTCCACCAGATTTGTTGGTCCACCCACCCAGGTTACAACTAACTCCCAAATTTCTGCCTGGCTCCCACCCAGGTCTAACCTAGATTGTTTTTTACGACAGCAGCCCACACTCCCAGCACAGATTGTCATTCCCCTGCCTGCTTCCCTCATACCTTGGTCTCAGCTAGGTAGTCGGCTGAGGACTTTAGCTGCCAGGGGTTGGTGGCATCGGGGTGGGGGTTCCGCTTGAAGAAATGGTGAGCCTTGCGGGCGGCGTGCAGCAGATGGGGCTTGGGCAAGCCCTGTGTCTCACAGATGTAGCGCACCTGGTCATACTCATTGTTGCCGGGGTAGAGAGGCCAGCCCAGGTGTAGTTCGGCCATGACGCAGCCCAGAGACCACACGTCCACCTTCTCGCAGAAGGGCAGCCCCAGCAGGATCTCTGGGGCCCTATAGAAACGGGATTGGATATATGGCTCCTTCACATAGCGCACCTCACTGAATATGCTGGCCGAGCCGAAGTCGATCACCTGTGGAAGGCAGAGGGTATGGTGGAGGGTGGGGTGACCAGACCAGGCCCCTCCTGGGACTCATCCCTTGCATTTCTCCTGCATCTGCCCAGCTCTGCGCCTTCCAGACTTCCTTTCTTACAAATGTCCCCTGTCTCTGTCATCGAGCTGTTGTTTCTGAGCTAGGTGTTAGGTCTGGTCCTGTCTCTGATTCGCTGTGCTTGAACCTCCTGTAGTGCAAAGCCATGTATGTATACAGTAGGCACGCATTCTCCCATATCGGCTTTGAGTCAGGGTCTCATGTATCTCAGGCTGGCTTCAAACTGGTTATGTAGCCAAGGATGACTTTGAACCCCTGCCCTCCATACCCTACCTCCCAGGGGCTGGGATTATAGGTGTGCGTAGCCAAGCCCAGCTCCCAGCTAGTATTTTAATATTTCACATACTCTATATTTCACTTGTATGTGGGTTGTATTGTGTGGGTGGTGTCATCACCCATGTGTGCACGTGTCGGGGAGAGAGATGGATGTTAGGTATTTTCTATCAACCTTATTTTTCTTAAAGATTTATTTATTCATTATGTATATAGTGTTCTGCCTGCATGCATGCTTGCACACCAGAAGAGGGTGCCAGATGATTGTGAGCCACCATGTGGTTGCTGGGAATAGAACTCACGACCTCTGGAAGAACAGTCAGTGCTTTTAACCTCTGAGCCATCTCTCCAGCCCTCAACCTTATTTTTTGAGACAGGGTTTCTCACTGAACCTGAAACTCACCAATTTTGACAAGATTGCCAGGCCACTGAGCTCTTATGATCCTCTTGTCTTCCCTTATGACCCTCAGCCCTGGTATTACTTTTTTTTTCTTTTTTTAAGATTTACTTATTTACTGTGTATACGGTATTCTGGCATGTAGATGGTTGTGGGCTCTGGAAATTGGACTCAGGACCTCTGGAAGAACAGCCAGTGCTCTTAGCCTCTCTCCCATTATCCCAGCCCCAGCCCTGGTATTATGAACCCAAGCCCAGATATAATGGTGCTGGAGCCCTTCTGCCTGTGTGGAGCAAGCACTTAAGCCATCGGGGCTGTAGCGATAGCTCAGTGATTAAGAGCACTGGCCGGTTCCCAACACCCACATGGCAGCTCACATCTGTCTGTAACCCTAGTTCCAGAGGACTCAGACGCCCTCTCTGGCCTCCTGGAATGCCATAATACACGCACAGGCACCCTCACATAAACTAAGTTAGCATGGCGGTGGTGGCGCACACCTTTAATCCCAGCACCTGGGAGGCAGAGGCAGAAAGATCTCTGTGAGTTCAAGACCAGCCTGATCTACAGAGTGAGTTCCAGGACAGGCTCCAAAGCTACAGAGAAACCCCGTGTCAAAAAAACTAGATAGATAGATAGATAGATAGATAGATAGATAGATAGATAGATAGATGCATACATACATACATACATACATACATACATACATACATACATACATAAGATAGATGATAGATAGTAGACAGACAGATAGATAGATAGATAGATAGATAGATAGATAGATAGACAGATAGATAATAAAATAAAATTCCAGGCCCATGAGAACAAGACCTTTGTTCATTCAAGGCTGTGTCTCTAGAGGTCTGGAACAGTTCCTGGACCATTGCAGGGCCCAGGAAAGAGTAAATGATGAACAAGCGTGTGTTTCTGACCAATCAGTATTTTTCTTTCTTTTATTTGCCTGTCTGTCTTCCATGGTACTGGGGATTGAATTTAAGGCCTCATGTATATTAGGTAAATATTTTACCAGTGAGATAGGCTCTCACCCTTTTTTTTAAGATTTACTTATTCATGTATTTTATGTACATGAGTGCTCTGTCTCCATGCACACCGGGTCTCATTACAGATGGTTGTGAGTCGCCGTGTAGTTGCTGGCAATTGAACTCAGGACCTCTGAAAGAGCAGCTGGTGCTCTTCACCTCTGAGCCATCTCTCTAGCCCAAGGGTTTTTGTTTTGTTTTGTTGTTCTGAAACAGGGTCTCTCTACATATCCCTGGCTGTCCTGGAACTCCCTATGTAGACCAGGTGGGCTTCAAACTCACAGTGATCTCCCTGCCTCTGGCTCCTGAGTGCTGGGATTAAAGGTGTGCGCTCCCCTGTCAGGCACAGTGTTTGGTCTTTTGAGATAGGGTTTCATGTATCCCATACCTGTTGTGTAGTCTAGGGTGACTTTGAACTCCTGATCCTGACAGCCTCTACATGTCAAGTACTAAGATTGCATGTGTATACCAGCACACTGGGCCTTAGCCATTTATGTTGAGGCTGCTCTTAGTTTCAGAGGCAGACCTTGAATTCATGATACCCCTGCCTCAGCAGCCTGAGGAACTAGGATTACAGGCCTGCATTACCAGGTCTCTCTCTCTCTCTCTTTCTCTCTCTCTCCAACTGCCTCTTCACAGCTAACCTCTCATCTCCCAGTGTCTCTGTCTTGGTTTCTGTCTTATAGACTGGGAAGGAACCACCCTGAAAGCCAATTCCTCTATGATCTTCACCCTCAGACGTTGTCAACACCCTGAGGTCCCTCAGCATGACATGGGCTGTGGACAGGAGCTTTCGTCTCTCCCCTTGCCGCCAGGTAGCGCTTTGCTGGTTTCACCGAATCCCTGTGACTCGTGGAGGCCATGGCTCCCTACTCTGCCTTGCACTCAGCCACCCTTCATCTTTGTGCACACAAGGCTGATCATGAAATAACTATTAGTCGGGACTCACAATCCCTGAGAGCTTGAGTAGCACTGGGCATTGAGCTAGTGTTTTCGGGGCCGTTCACCCGTAGGGGTGTCAGTGACCCCCAGGTGCTGTGTGAGCCCTGCTAGATCTACAGAGATCTCTTAGCTCGCTGTCCTTCCATCCCTCAGGGCAGAAATACCCATCTCTTTCATGTGGCTCTAACATGCAGTGTGGTGCTGGGAGAGGCCAAGGATATAATGTAATCAGCTTTGGTCCAGTCCCGCCCTGGGGTGCTGCCTGTTCAGTCGTCACCAGACTCTTGATGACAAATTCTCAGGCAGAGGAGCCTTCGCTCTGATGGAGGAGCCACAGAGGGATGTCTGAGTAGGCTCTCCTGAAGTGGGACTTAGGCCGGGGGCAGAGGAAACCATTCTGGTGCCCACCCAGGAGCAAGAACAGAGGGTAGAGCCACCTGGCTTGCAGATGCCTAGGCTAGCAGGCTCTGGTCCTAGTTGAGTCCTCTCTTCCTCTCACACTTTGTTTGTTTGTTTGTTTTGGTTTTGGTTTTTCCAGACAGGGTTTCTCTGTGTAGCCCTGGCTGTCCTGGCACTCACTCTGTAGATCAGGCCAGCTGCAAGCCCACAGGGATCTTGCCTCTGCCTTCTGAGTGCTGGGATTAAAGGTATGCGCCACCACCACCACCAGGCTAACACATTTTTTTTTTTTTAAAGACAAGAATCTTAAGTAGTGCAGACTGGCCTTGAACTTGCTACACAGCCAAAGACAAACCTGAACTTTCAATCCTTCTACCTCTGCCTCTGCAGTGGTAGAATATAGGTATCTGCCCCCGTGCCCAGCTCTCCCTCACACGGTCTCGCTTTTAAATTTAATTAATTTGGGGGGGTTATGCAAATACAATGGTGTGTGTGTAGAGGTCAAAGAATAACTTTTGGGAGTCAGTTCTCTGCTTCCACCATACGGGTCCTGGGTATTGAACTCAAGTCCTTAGGCTTGACAGCAAGGCCTTTTTCTGGCTGAGCTGTCTTGCTGGCCCTTCTTTTTCTAAACTGATCGAGCGTGTGTGTGTGTGTGTGTGTGTGTGTGTGTGTGTGTGTATATGTTTGTGTGCATATGCACACGTGTGTCAGAAGTTAGCCTTCCTCTATCCCTCTGTACCTTACAGTTTGAGACAAGAGCCCTCATTGAACATGGGGCTTGCTGATTGGCTAGGAATCTAACTGTCTCTACCTCCCCAACACGGATATTACGGGTGTTTTGCCACACCTGGCTTCTTATGTGGGTGCTAAGGACCGGACCCGAACTGAGGTCCTTATGCTTGTTCATAATACTCGCACAGGCACCTTCACATAAACTAAGTTAGCATGGCGGTGGTGGCACACACCTTTGGCACCTTACCAATCTGAGTATCTCCAAAGCCTTCCTGTCTCACCAAGCAATGAATTCTATTATCTGTAGCTCCGAGTCTGCCCAGAAGTCACACACATGTCAGCTATATCTTCTTACCTTTGACTCCTACTTGGATCACCCCATCTGCCTTCTTGATCCTACTTCCCCCCAAAAATGAACACCGAAGCCAGAGCAGGCCCTTCTGCTCCCATCCATCTATGAGCCCAGCATGTTGGTGTGTGCCTTTGACCTCGTTGTTTGGGAGGCAGAGTTTGTAGCCTTCCTGGTCTACATAGCAAGTTCAAGGCCATCCAGGGATATACTGTGAGACCTTGTATCAAAAAAAAAAAAAACAAAAAAAAAAGGTAAAACTGGTTCTGACTGTGCCTGAGGACTTACTGCACAGCCCCACCCCCGCCTCTTTGGTCTCACTTCCTCCCTCTCTGCCCCGTTCCTTCTACTTCTAGAATGTCAGCCCTGACCTGAGCCAGAGGAGGGAAACTTCGGGGCCTGGAGGGGAAGCACAGACCTCCGGCCTTTGATAGTGAGGACCTCAGAAACGAGACGGACCCAGGCATGGTGGTGAATAACTGTAGTCCAGATACTTGGGAGGGGAGACTCTCTCAAATTCCAGACCAGCCTGGACGACATGAGACACTCACTGTCTCCAATAAACAAAACCCAACAGAACAAGCTGGCTCTGGAGACACCAATAACCCTAGCACTTGGGTAGTGGAGGCAGGTAGGTCATGAGTTCAAGTCATCCTCAGCCACACAGCGAGTTCAAGGCCAGCCTGTGCTATACAAGACCCTGTCTCAAAAACAAACAACAAAACGGAAGAATTGGGATGGGCTCTGGAAGACTGCTGGCCAGCAGTGAAGAGAGGCAGCTCAGGGAATCAGGGTCACCTCGGGGCCATGGCACGAAACTGACGAGGGAGCCCCACACATTGGTGGGGCATCCCAGAGTTGAACAAAGCTGTTTCCCAGGCAGCCTCACTCACCTTTACCCTGAAGGGGCAGCGGGTCTGATCCACCAACATGATGTTTTCAGGCTTGAGGTCAGCGTGGATGATGGCCAGCTCCTTGAGCCGGGCCAGTGCTCTCAGCACCTGCAGTGTGACGGTGCGGATGTGGCGGGCAGGAAGGGGTGCGAAGTTGTTCTCTTTCTGGAACTCGAAAAGGTTTTGCTCCAGTAGCTCAAAGACCAGGTAGAACTTGAGGGCATCATGGAAGAACTCAAGAAAGCGGATGACGTGGGCCTCGTCAGGGTCCAGGCCTCGTACACACCTTAGCAGCTTCAACTCATTCTTGATGATGCGGCTTCGGTATGCGTCATTCTTCAGGATCTTGATGGCCACCATTTCACCTGTGCTACGACGCCAGCCCTTGGCCACCTCTCCGAAGGTGCCCTTGCCCAGTACCTCGATGATGTCGTAACAGTCAGTCTCTGACTGGATGGTGGCCATGGTGCCCTGGCTGCCAGTCACTACTCTGCCCTTACCCCTGAACCACTGGCTTGGTTGCCTAGACCTCCCACCCTGATGCTGGCCCTTCAGTCCTAGCGGGGGAAAGATAATCACACTCACGTCTCTCCCTATGAGCTCAGCCCCTGCCTCCCTGGCACCCCTTGACCCCCTTGGCCACACCGTGAGTCTACCAGGGGCAGCACCCCTCCCCCAAAGCCGTCCTGGCTTGGGATGAGGGGGCTCAGGCCCCCCTGAATGGGTTCCAGCGTTGCTGAGTGGCTTTGATTCTGTTGTTAGAGACCTGGGTCCTAGGCTAGAATGGGGGGTGGGGTGCCAGGTCGGCCCCTCCCCCACCCACAGATGGAACCCTGGAGAAGCCCGCAGGGTAGACTCAGAGGGATTATCACTGGCCTTGAGTGTTCAGAAATAGGGACATACCTCCTGAGGGAAACCTTTCCAAGGTTGAGGGGTTGGTGCATACAGGGCATGTGTGGATAGGGTAAGATCCAGATTGTGCCAGGCAGTAGTGGCGCATGCCTTTAATCCCAGCACTCGGGAGGCAGAGGCAGGAGGATCTCTGTGAGTTGGAGGCCAGCCTGGTCTCCAGAGCAAGTGCCAGGACAGGCTCCAAAGCTACACAGAGAAACCCTGTCTCAAAAAACCAAAAAAAAGAAAGAAAGGAAGAAAGAAAGAAAGAAAGAAAGAAAGAAAGAAAGAAAGAAAGAAAAAGATCCAGATTGTAAGAGGCACGGAATGCAGGCTAAAAAAGTTTGAAGTGGACACTGGGGAGCCATGGAAGGCTTTAAGCAAGGCAATGAGTGGTCAGACCTGAATCTTCACACAGACAGCTTCTGTGTGAGAAAGGTTTTTGTTTTGCATTCAATACAGTGGCTGCCCCTTAAGCCAACTGCTATCCTAATAACCAATAATTGCAACTCTGCAGCTCCCAGCAGTAGTTTGGCTACACTCGCCACAGGCATGCAGGAATTCTGTTCCCTCAGGCACCTGCTCTATCATCTGCACTAAAGGAAATTTTATCTCAGTCTCTATCCTTCCATAGAACTCAGGATTCGAAAGTTGAGGTCAAGTGCGGCTAGCTCAGAGAGGCTGGATAGAAAGCAGCTCACCGTCTCTCCTTGCTCCTGTCTCCCGAAAAAGCAGTGTCCTTCTGCTCAGTCCCCACTAAACAACCCTGGCTACACGTGGTCCCTCCCTACCACTTCCTTACCTACAGGCCCTTTTCAGACGACCTTGTCTACTGAAATTAAAACCACCTACCAGCCGGGCGTTGGGGGCACACGCCTTTAATCCCAGCCCTCGGGAGGCAGAGTCAGGTGGATCTCTGTGAGTTCGAGACCAGCCTGGTCTACAGAGCGAGTTCCAAGCCACAGGGAAACCCTATCTCAAAAAAAACAAAAAACAAAAAACAAACAAACAAAAACCACCTGCCATTTTGATTTTTCTTGATATTTTTAGGAGTACGAGGTCCAAAATCAACTGTATTTCTGATCCATTCATCAATGGGTGCTGACCTTGCCTTTAAAGTCCCGATTACCCTTGTGCATTCTGAATTAGCATTTTCGAAAGCCAGAGATTGAATTAATATTTGTCTAACTTCTGGATCAGATATCATCAAACTATTTGTATCTGAAGTCAATCTTTGTAAAAAAAAAAAAAAATCAGTGAAGGCTTCTTTTGGACCTTGTGTGTGTGTTTTTTTTTTTTTTTTTTTTTGAGACAAGTTTTCTCTGTGTAAGAGCTCTGGCTGTCCTTGAACTCACAGAGATCCTCCAGACTCTGCTTCCCAGTGCTGGGAAGTGTACCACTATCGCCCAGCTCATTTTTCTTCTTCTTCTTCTTTTTTTTCATTAGTTTATCTTCCCAAGGCCTGCATAGTATTGGGTACTGATAGTACTTACTGGTATTATATTAGTGTCAGTTAAATCATTTATCTTCCCATATTCTTCTGCTTCTAACTTCAAGCCTTCTAAAGTAGCAGTACACAGGGTCCCAACACCTTGCGTTGTTATGTTTCCCATGTTTAACGTGGAGGAAAAAATTTCTTTTCAATATTATTTCATGGGGCTGGAGAGATGGCTCAAAGGTTAAGAGCACTGTCTGCTCTTCCAGAGGTCCTGAGTTCAGTTCCCAGCAACCACATGGTGGCTCACAACCATCTGTAATGAGATCTGGTGCCCTCTTCTGGCCTGCAGGGATACATGCAAGTGGAACACTATATACATAAAAAAAATAAAAAATAAATGCTAAAAAAATATTATTTCATTCTCTCCTACTCTTCTAAAGGGTTTCCCAGGTTTCTCACCAATTCTGTTGACTTCTCTTGGCAAGCAGCAGCCGACTGCTCACGAGGAGAGCCCCAGATGCCAAATACAGCAGAGTCGCTGGCATGACCCCTCCTTCTGTGCGGTTGTACCCCTTGCGGGAGTGTCAAATGCTGCTTTGCATTCAATACAGGCTGCACCTGTCCCAACTAGCAATTGCAACTCCGAAGCTACCAGCAGCAGTTCGGCGGCCACATGGGCCACAGCCAGGCAGAAATTCTGTTCCCTGGCACAGCCATATCTGGTGGGAATGGCAAAAGTCAAAAGGCCAGCACACTGACAAAGATTCAGCAAAGATGAGCCACGGGGTGGTCAGCTTGCCACCTTTGGTTTTCATCTCCACCTGGGTGCATACGTGAGGGACTTTTAATATTTGTACAATTTGGGGATATTGGATTGATGGAAGTTCCCTTCTGAATCATTTATGTGCCTTCTCTGAGGAATATTGTTGGGAAATATTATTTTAAGGCATGTGACCTTTGTTAATGCTACATTTGCTTCAGTGAAGCTGAAGCTGATTCTTTGCTTCTCCAAAACACCTGATGGTCTAATAAAGAGCAGAGTAGCAAGGCAGGAGTAAGGATAGGCAGGGTGGACAGGACAGGTACAGAGGGTGAACAGGAGAATGAGGAAAGAGAAGGAACTTGAGAACCAGGAGAGGAGGACATCTTGGGCCAGCCACCCAGCCAGCCTCGGAGTAAGAAGGAAGTAAGATATGTAGACAGATTAATTTAAGAAGAACTGGCTAAAAGCCGGGAGGTGGTGGCACAGACCTTTAATCCCAGCACTTGGGAGGCAGAGGCAGGAGGATCCCTGTGAGTTCAAGGCCAGCCTAGAACTACAGAGCTAGTTCCAGCCAGAGCTGTTACTCAGAGAAATCGTCTCAAAAAAAAAAAAAAGAAAGAAAGAAAGAAAGAAAGAAAGAAAGAAAGAGCTGGCTAGAAACAAGCCAAGCTAAGGCCAGGCACTCATAATTAACAGTAAGTCTTCGTGTGTGATTTATTTGGGAGCTGTATGTCACAGAGAGACACTGAAGACAGTGGAGGCCTAAAACCAGAGGGATTAAGGCAAGTGAAAGGTTGGTCCACAGCGTTGGGCATTCTGAACCCTGGGACCTGATCCTAAGAGGAAGCCGAGTGTTTGAAGCTGAGGTTCTGAAGCCTTGATTCCAAAGAAGGAACCTCATTCCTTGGGTGAGGCCCTAAGTGCACAGGGCAGTCAAACCAGACAGACAGGAAAGGGGGGGTGGAGCCTGGCCGGGTGGCCTTGGTGGCACATGTCTGTAATCCTAACTGGTTCAGAGGCTGAGGCAGTATGATTGAAAACAACTGAAGGGCGACTTGCTCTAGAGAGTAAGATCAAAGCCAGCTTGGGAAACAGTGAAATCTGAAATTCAGAGTTAAGGGGTTGATATAACTCGGTTGGTGGAGTGTTTGCCTACCATGGATGGGGCCTGGAGCTGAATTCCCAACACCACATAAAACCAAGCATGGTGGCATGTACCTCCAATCCCAGCTCTTGGGGTTCTGCAGGCAACAGAATAAAAAGTCAAGGTCATCCTTGGCTACATTGTTTGAGACTCGTCTGATACATATGAGACTGTTTCAAAAAAGAAAAGTGAAAAAGGGTTGCGGGCAGATGGCTCAGTATTAGGACCTCTGGTTGTTCTTCCAGAGGACCTAGGTTCAATTCCTAGTGCCCACATGGTGGCTCACAAGTGTCTGGAGTTTCTGGCCTCCACAGGCACCACACATACATATGATATACAGGCAAAACACTCAAACACATAAAATAATAAATTTAAAGTGTTTTTTTTTTTTTTTTTTTTTTTTTTTTTAAA